AACCCGTGCCTTTCCCTACCTTCATGCCAGAAAACCAAAATCGGGGATGGGGGAAAAAAAACCCCTAAACATTCCAGGCTAACCCCCTGGGTTGGAAAAAAAGGGGAGGGGCGGGGCCGGATAACCCCCCAAAAAAGCATACCCCCCTTCAGCCCCCAAACCCCCCGGAAATTCCAAAAGGTGGTTTCCAGAGAAACCCTCGCCCAAAAGACCCCAAAAAGCTACCCGGGCCCGGGGGGGATGGGGAAAACCCAAGGGAAATTTCCAGTTTTCCAGGGCCCAAACTGGGCCACCCCAAGAAACCTAAAGGGAAAAGGGATGGCCCCCGGTGCCCTTTTCCCCTACCTAGGAACTAGGCCCCGGGGGGGAGAAATCACGAAGGCAAAAAAGGGGAAAGGGGAAAAAGGGAGGGGGGTAGGAGGAGGGGGGAATGGAAAAAGGGGGGGATGGGGGGGAGGGGAAAAAGGGGGGGGAGAAGGGGGGTTTAATTAGGTTGGGTCTGGGAAGAAGACGACAGGGGAAAAATTTCCTAAACCCAAGAGCCTTTTAAACCACCCAAAGGACCCCCCCTTAAAAGGGGATTTATATTAAAGGAGGGGTTCCCAAAACCCTTGGGGTTTTAATACGTGCTCAGGACAAGAAGGTATTCAGAGTTGCCCCAAGGAAAAGGAGTGTAGCCTGATTTTTGGGAAATAAAAACCCCGGAGGGGGTTTTTCCCAGGGATAAATCCCCCCGGGGCCGGTCCGTGACCGGGTTGCGGTAGATCGGGGTCAAATAACCCAGGCTTTTAACTACTGGCTCCCAAAAAACCCAAAACCATACAAACCACAGCCCGGCGGGATAAGGGTAGACTCTAGGTCTTTCCGTGCCTTCTTAAAGACACCCAGGGGGTCTTTTTGAAATTTCCCCATTTATGTATGTTGGGGGGCAGTTGAACAGTCTTGGGGGCCCCTGACATTATTGAAATGTCTCCAGGTATTTTTGGTCCCCCTACTTTTAAACTGGAGAAGGTTGGTCCCCTGCCCAGGTTTGTTTTTTGTGGGGAGTGTTTTTCGTGTGAAAATTTTTGGGACAAATTTTTTAAAGGATTTTTGAAGTGTTTAAAATTTTCTTTTTCTCCCCCTTTGCTTCCAGGGAAAATACAAAAAAAGGGAATTAAAACCCTTTCCCAATAATTTGGGTGTTTTATTTGCTTATATGTGGTGTGAAAGTTCTCTGTACATTCTCCAGGTCAGCAATATCGCCTGCCTTGAAGGGAGCCATTAGTGTACAGCAATATTCCAGCCTTGAGAGAAGTGATTTGAAGAGAATCATCATGGGCTTGGCACCCCTAGTTTTGAAGGTTTTCAATATCTATTCTATCGTATTCCTAGCAGACGTGTTAGATACATTGTTGTGATCCTTGAAAGTGAGATTCTCCCAGGTCCTTCACATTAGTTTTTCACTCTATTGTGTGACTGGAATTTGTTTATACTCCAATACAGTTTAATTGGTCTTCATCAACATAAATTTATTTCACCCTGAAGAGAAAACATTTCGAATTGCTAAAGTTACTTAACTCAAAGAGGAATCCTTGACGAGACTTGGTAAAGTTTCTCAGCTCAAGTTGACACACTTCATTACTGTTATAATGAATTCAAGATTCATTTCTGGCATGAGTGGAGATGTTTGGCATGTTTCCTTACACCAGGTGCTTTGTTCGCCTAACAGTATAGAGGTATTGTACCTGAGTGTTAGCCAACTGTTTTGAGTGGCAACTTAAGCAAGAGAATCAAAGGATCATGATAAAAATAAGCCAGACTGATTGTCCTTTTTTTAGTTATCCTGGGTTGCTAACCTTCTAGGTTAATAATCTGAATAAAATCTTCATCCTTTGTAATGGGATATGACAGTCAATTTGTTTTGCATGATAGGCATGCTCTACCTCAAGTGAACAACTGATATTGTTACACACAATGATTGAGGGATATACTGTACTCAGTTGATGCACAGTGTAGTAATAATGATCTTAGTCCAAATTGTGTTACTTGTATACCAATTTTCCTCCTGCTATTCTATTACACAAGTACATACAGCACTATCACCATTTTCTAACATGGTAGGTAGTAGATTCGCAGGTATAATTGCCCAGCCCGGGCCTTTTCCAAGAGGTGGCCCAGCCTTGGTTCCCTTTTGTGGGAGTGTCTTAGACCAATGTCTGCCATGGGAGGAGGTACAAGTACCTCCACGTCTTCTGGGATGAGTTGTCCCCAGGCCTAGCCCCATTCCCCACTGCCACAGGGCTCGAAGGGAGAAGCTAGGCACCTTGGGCTGCCACAAACTCTGCCCACACTGGGCTACAAGGGTGTGGCAGCTACATAGCAGCAGACAATGTCAGGAGGTGCAAAGGCAGCAAGCACTACAGGATCCTCTTAGAGCCACACCCCAGCTTTGGGCCGAAGCCCAAGCGCCGGGGAAGCTCAAGAATGCCTCTTGCTGTGAGTGTTGCTGCTACTACTTCACTTGTCCGTTGCACTCTCCTCTATCTCATTTTCTAACAGAATTACAATAGTACCACTATTCTCTCACATAAGTACAAGAGTATCACCATTTTCTAACACTACCACTGTTGTTTATCACATATCGACCACTGTATGTACATAGCACAGTTCTCTATCACATTCTCTCAGAGTACACAATCATACTGTATTCAACAGCTTTAGTATTTTGAGACTATCCACTTGGCAACAAACAAGATTATTGTAATTTTAACTGTAAAAAAAGAGGACAGAAAATAAATCACAATATTGTAAGTAATGATTTTATTTAAAAGTATTATTTATACATGAAAGTAGAGTGACTGATGCCTATTAAACTGATGTACTGATGCAACTTTTGAGGACAAATTAGCAGAGCATTTATCAATAAAAGATATTGCACCTTTTGAAAATTAAGACGCATGTGCAATATCTGGGTATCATTATTGTAGACATTTTGCCATCCAGTGGCTTTAACAATACAAATTCAAGGACATGAATGGAAGACAGTAGAACTATATACAAGAAATGAGGTAATCTGTCCCTCTTCACAACTACGGTGCTCTTCACACCAACTCCAAGGCTGAGGGACTGATTACCTCATCTTTTGTATATAGTTTTAATGTCTTCCATTGATGTCCTTGAATTTTTAATGATAAAGCCACTGAATGAGAAAACACCTACAATAAAAGTACCCAGATGTTGCACATGTCTAAATTTTCATCTTGTCGGTATTGTATATCATTCATGTACAACCTGTCAGACACTGCAACATCAATGAATCTTCGTTCAGAGGACATCTACATAACCTTCTTCACAGCTACTACAACGACTACTACCACTAACCCATCCTTTGGTAATGACCTACTTCCACTGGAGAATCCCATCTACCAGTGACTATGCCCTTGTCTGCTACCCGTTTCTATCCACCTGACACCAGTATATAAGCACCAGCCTTCTTGCCTGTGCTCCAGAATCTTCACTACTACGGTGCTCTTCACACCAACTCCAAGGCTGAGGGACTGATTACCTTATCTTCTGTATATAGTTCTACTGTCTTCCATTCATGTCTTTGAATTTATATTGATAAAGCCACTGGATGGTGAAACATCCACAATAAAAATACCCAGATGTTGCACGTGTCTTAATTTTCACCTTGTCGGTACTGTATACCATTCAAGTACAACTTGTCACATACCGCACCTTGTCATTATTCAACTTCAAAAATGATGTGTGAGCAAATCTGGACTTACATACACAATTACCTCCTGTATGTTAATGGACACAATCACAAGCTGTGTGGGGACATAGTGAGATAAAATATGTATCCCAGGATAAATTTGTATCCAAGAATAAGTCAAGAAAAGTGAAAATATTGAAAATTGTACAAAAGGGATACAGCACAAGAATATTTTTTCTTTGCAGAATGGATGAATAGTGAAACAGGATCCAGGAGGCAACATTAAAAAATATTGTGATAAACTAAACACTGATGATAGTACATCAGGAACATAGCTCCCTTCTTGTATATGTAATAATGAATAAGTAATGATTTACAACATAAACACCTTGTAATTCAAGTTACAAGTAATACGTTTCATATACAAGTACTATCAATATCATATTATCACACGGTTCCTCCAGCAGTTGCTACATGAGAATTTTTCCCACGATAAAGCGACGATACCACATATATGACGTAGCCAAGCTTAAGGTATACCTGCAAAAAGAGAATTAATGTATTTATTAAAGTAACTGCAACTTATGCTACTACATTATTGTACACAATAGTAAGAAATTAGCTTTAATGCATGTGTAGAACATATTTACTGCTTAACATATGGGGAATCAAATACAAAATGGGAGTTGACACAGTTACTTTTTGCTGATGATACTGTGCTTTTAGGAGATTCTAAAGAGAAGTTGCAAAGGTTAGTGGACGAGTTTGAGAGGGTGTGTAAAGGAAGAAAGTTGTAAGTGAACATAGATAAGAGTAAGGTGATGAGGGTGTTAAATGAGTTAGGTAAGAAAAAACTGGATATCACATTGGAGGGAGGGAGTGTGGAAGAAGTGAATGTGTTCAGATATTTGGGAGTTGACTTGTCAGCAGATGGGTTTATAAACAATGAGGTTAACCATAGAACTGATGAAGGAAAAAAGGTGAGAGGTGTGAGGGATATGTGAAAACAAAAAAACGTAATCCATGGAGGCAAGGAAGGGAATGTATGAGAGTACAGTGGTACCAACACTTATGTGGGTGTGAAGGATGGGTTGTGAATGCTGCAGCAAGGAGGAGGCTGGAGGTAGTGTAGATGTTGTGTCTAAGGGCAATGTGTGGTGTAAATACCTATTATGCAGAGAATTTGTAGTGTGGAAATAAGGAGGTGTGGAGTTACTAAAAGTATTAGTCAGAGGGCTGACGAGGGGTTGTTGAGGTGGTTTGGTCATTTAGAGAGAATGGATCAAAGTAGAATGACTTGAAGAGCGTATAAATCTGTAGGGGAAGGAAGGCGGGGTAGGGGTCGTCCTCAAAAAGGTTGGAGAGAAGGGGTAAAGGAAGTTTTGTGGGTGAGGGGCTTGGATTTCCAGCAAGCATGCATGAGCGTGTTTGATAGGAGTGTATGGAGGAGACGAATGGTTTTTGGGACCTGACGAGCTGTTGGAGTGCGAGCAGGGTAATATTTTGTGAAGGGATTCAGGGAAACTGGTTAAACAGACTTGAGTTCTGGAAATGGGGAGTACAATGCCTGCACTTTAAAGGAGGAGTTTGGGATATTGGCAGTTTGGAGGGACTTCTAAACTGTCATAACTGAGCACCTCTGCAAAGACAGTGATTATGTATGAGTGAGGTGAAAGTGTTTAATGATGATGAAAGTATGTTCTTTTTGGGGATTTTCTTTCTTATAGGGTCACCCTGCCTTAGTGGGAGGTGACCAACATGTTGAAAAAAAAAAAATATATATATATATATATATATATATATATATATATAGATCTATAGATAAATTAGGCTAATTTATTTACCAAGTTAAAATGTAGGAAAGATGCTCGTTGCGCATTGTTACTCGAGTCTGTGCACCTCTCGGTCCTCCAGGGATGGTGTCAACCGCATCTAGAAACACAGGGGCAGTACCCAGCATACTGGCCATTGCTGGAACATCCCTAGAAATATATCAGAGATTTTTATATATTATTTATGTTACAAATGTGGTAAGCTGCTGAATAAAGCTTTAACAAAAATTAATATTTTAATTTTAATTCAAACTTGAGGAGATTGGAGTGTGATGATAAAAAAATTATTGGTTAAGGTCAGTGTGTATGTCTAGAACAATACCATACTAAATTTGAAATCACCCAGAATTTTACTCCAAACTTTTTTGCATTACGGACTCTCCTCACTTAGTGATGTACTTGTTTACCGATGCCTCGAACTCATGACAGGCTCTCTGACCAGTATGCATGCCTAAATAATGTATATTAGAGCTGATTTCCTCTATTTTGTTTATTACCATATACAGTACACTACTGTATAAACATTTAAAAATATACCAGAAATGTTATACATGTTGCAAAGGTGACATTAAAACAATATCAAAGATAATTGACACAAACCCACTACCATTATAGTATGCTCCACACTTAGAGATACATTCATATACCGATGTGGTCTTGGGAAAACAGAACTCCATCGTTAAATAAAGGAGAGCTTATTTTTTTTTTTTATAACACACTGGCTGATTCCCACCAAGGCAGGGTGGCCCGAAAAAGAAAAACTTTCACCATCATTCACTTCATCACTGTCTTGCCACAAGGGTGCTTTACACTACAGTTTTTAAACTGCAACATTAACACCCCTCCTTCAGAGTGCAGGGACTGTACTTCCCATCTCCAGGACTCAAGTCCGGCCTGCCATTTCCTGAATCCCTTCATAAATGTTACTTTGCTCACACTCCAACAGCAAAGTCAAGTATTAAAAACCATTTGTCTCCATTCACTCCTATCAAACACGCTCACGCATGCCTGCTGGAAGTCCAAGCCCCTCGCACACAAAACCTCCTTTACCCCCTCCCTCCAACCTTTCCTAGGCTGACCCCTACCATTACAGACTGATACACTCTTGAAGTCATTCTGTTTCGCTCCATTCTCTCTACATGTTCGAACCACCTCAACAACCCTTCCTCAGCCCTCTGGACAACAGTTTTGGCAATCCCGCACCTCCTCCTAACTTCCAAACTACAAATTCTCTGCATTATATTCACACCACACATTGCCCTCTATTACAAAAAAAGTGATTTTTAAAAGATGGTAAGTTTTTACTCCTTTTGTAATAAAGAGTTCGGGATACATAAATACACACATTAAAATAAATTAATCTTTAATATAATATAAAAATCAACTTTCTTTGGTCTAGAGGTATTTGAACTAACATCTGATAATATATACATGTTACAATAATAAATTATAATTAGCATTTTACTAAAATAATAAATAATTCCCGACCCTACACAGGGTACAACTCTTGACACTACTGCGTCATATATCTATATGCTAAAATAATAAATTAGTAACATTTAAAATAATAAATTACAATCAACTGCGTTTCTCACGACACTTATCCGAGTTGCGACGCTCTTTCTCCACCGTGTCACTTGACACCCTTTTCTCCGTATAATACACACTTTTGCAACCGTGTCACACTTGACACCCTTGTCTCTGTGTCACAGTACCCGCATAGCGTCTTTGTCGAGGCCAGTCACATGACCCTATTCAGTGTACACTACAACCAGGCCATCTTCAGTGTCACACGATACCCTTTCCTTCTCAGTGTTCCACTACGGTTCTGTAGCATATCTCAGTGTTCCACTCCATCATACTTCCCTAAGTGTCACACTACGGTCCTGGCCCAGTTCAGTGTAACACTCCAACCTTTTCTTCATGTAATGTCCCACTAAACAGCATCAGATGACTCCGGCCCACAGTTGACAAGCGTAGGCGGTGAGTCCACAGACATCACCGGTAGTCCAGTAAATACTCTCCAAAGCCGGCTGACACACCGCTAGCCGAACACCATGCTGCAAGCTCACTGAATGCAGCCGTCAAGTAACTGAGGCCAACAGACTCAGTGAGCTGCGGTGAGCGGTTCTTCTAACGCCAGTAGATGGGTACGATTAGGTGTTCAGGTACCTACTGCGTAGATGCGTACCGTGAGGAGTTCAGGTACTTAATGTTTCTAAAGCCAGTAGATGTGTACCATTAGGTGTCCAGGTACCTACTGCTTAGATGCGTACCCTGAGGAGTTCAGGTACTTAAATGTTTCTAAAGCCAGTAGATGTGTACGATTAGGTGGTCAGGTACCTACTGCTTAGATGCGTACCCTGAGGTGCTCAGGTACTTAATGTTTCTAAAGCCAGTAGATGTGTACCATTAGGTGTCCAGGTACCTACTGCTTAGATGCATACCCTGAGGAGTTCAGGTACTTAATGTTTCTAAAGCCAGTAGATGTGTACCATTAGGTGTCCAGGTACCTACTGCTTAGATGCGTACCCTGAGGAGTTCAGGTACTTAATGCTCTAAGGCCGGCTCAGCAGTCCCCACAATGGGTTTGATGACGTACCCAGTGGTACTGCCGGCCGGCAGGTTAACTATTTAACCGCTAGTTTGGCAGGGGGCCGTAACACCCTCAGACATGACATCTCCACTGCCTCCAGCCTTCTCCTCACTGCAACATTCATCACCCATGCTTCACACCCATATAAGAGCGTTGGTAAAACTATACTCTCATACATTCCCCTCTTTGCCTCCAAGGACAAAGTTCTTTGTCTCCACAGACTCCTAAGTGCACCGCTCATCCTTTTCCCCTCATCAATTCTATGATTCACCTCATCTTTCATAGACCCATCTGCTGACATGTCCACTCCCAAATATCTGAATACATTCACCTCCTCCATACTCTCTCCCTCCAATCTGATATCCAATCTTTCATCACCTAATCTTTTTGTTATCCTCTTGTTCTTCTCTTACATACCCTACCAAATTCATCCACCAACCTCTGCAACTTCTCTTCAGAATCTCCCAAGAGCACAGTGTCATCAGCAAAGAGCAACTGTGACAACTCTCACTTTATGTGTGATTCTTTATCTTTTAACTCCACGCTTCTTGCCAAGACCCTCGCATTTACTTCTCTTACAACCCCATCTATAAATATATTATACAACCATGGTGACATCACACATCCTTGTCAAAGGCCTACTTTTACTGGGAAATAATCTCCTTCTTTCCTACATACTCTAACTTGAGCCTCACTATCCTCATAAAAACTCTTCACTGCTTTCAGTAACCTACCTCCTATACCATACACCTGCAACATCTGCCACATTGCCCCCCCATCCACCCTGTCATACGCCTTTTCCAAATCCATAAATGCCACAAAAGCCTCTTTAGCCTTATCTAAATACTGTTCACTTATATGTTTCACTGTAAACACCTGGTCCACACACCTCCTACCTTTCCTAAAGCCTCCTTGTTCATCTGCTATCCTATTCTCTGTCTTATTCTTAATTCTTTCAATAATAACTCTACCATACACTTTACCAGGTATACTCAACAGACTTATCCTCCTATAATTTTTGCACTCTCTTTTGTCCCCTTTGCCTTTATACAAAGGAACTATGCATGCTCTCTGCCAATCCCTAGGTACCTTACCCTCTTCCATATATTTATTAAATAACAGCACCAACCACTCCAAAACTATATCCCCAGTATTGGGCCCCTACTTAAACAAGATGGGTCCTACACAGATGACAGCAAGGAAATGAGTGAGCTACTCAAGTCCCAATATGACTCAGTTTTTAGCAAGCCGCTAACCAGACTGAGAGTCGAAGATCAAATGAATTTTTTATGAGAGAGCAACAGAATTTGGTTAACACAAGCCTATCTAATGTTATCCTGACGCCAAATGACTTCGAACAGGCAATAAATGACATGCCCATGCACTCTGCCCTAGGGCCAGACTCATGGAACTCCGTGTTCATCAAGAACTGCAAGAAGCCCCTATCACAAGCTTTTACCATCCTATGGAGAGGGAGCATGGACACGGGGGTCATCCCACAGTTACTAAAAACAACAGACATAGCCCCACTCCACAAAGAGGGCAGTAAAGCAATAGCAAAGAACTACAGACCGATAGCACTAACATCCCATATCATAAAAATCTTTGAAAGGGTCCGAAGAAGCAAGATCACCACCCATCTAGAAACCCATCAATTACGCAACCCAGGGCAACATGGGTTTAGAACAGGTCGCTCATGTCTGTCTCAACTATTGGATCACTACGACAAGGTCCTAGATGCACTAGAAGACAAAAAGAATGCAGATGTAATATATACAGACTTTGCAAAAGCCTTCGACAAGTGTGACCATGGCGTAATAGCGCACAAAATGCATGCAAAAGGAATAACAGGAAAAGTTGGTCGATGGATCTATAATTTCCTCACTAACAGAACACAGAGAGTAGTAGTCAACAGAGTAAAGTCCGAGGCAGCTACGGTGAAAAGCTCTGTTCCACAAGGCACAGTACTCGCTCCCATCTTGTTCCTCATCCTCATATCTGACATAGACAAGGATGTCAGCCACAGCACTGTGTCTTCCTTTGCAGATGACACCCAAATCTGCATGACAGTGTCTTCCATTGCAGACAATGCAAGGTTCCAGGCAGACATCAACCAAATCTTTCAGTGGGCTGCAGAAAACAATATGAAGTTCAACGATGAGAAATTTCAATTACTCAGATATGGTAAACACGAGGAAATTAAATCTTCATCAGAATACAAAACAAATTCTGGCCACAAAATAGAGTGAAACACCAACATCAAAGACCTGGGAGTGATCATGTCAGAGGATCTCACCTTCAAGGACCACAACATTATATCAATTGCAGCTGCTAGAAAAATGACAGGATGGATAATGAGAACCTTCAAAACTAGGGATGCCAAGCCCATGATGACACTCTTCAGGTCACTTGTTCTATCTAGGCTGGTATATTGCTGCACACTAACAGCACCTTTCAAGGCAGGTGAAATTGCTGACCTAGAAAATGTACAGAGAACCTTCACGGCACGCATAACGGAGATAAAACACCTCAATTACTGGGAGCGCTTGAGGTTCCTGAACCTGTATTCCCTGGAATGCAGGCGGGAGAGATACATGATTATATACACCTGGAAAATCCTAGAGGGACTAGTACCGAACTTGCACACGAAAATCACTCACTATGAAAGCAAAAGACTTAGCAGACGATGCAACATCCCCCAATGAAAAGCAGGGGTGTCACTAGCATGTTAAGAGACCATACAATAAGTGTCAGGGGCCCGAGACTGTTCAACTGCCTCCCAGCATACATAAGGGGGATTACCAACAGACCCCTGGCAGTCTTCAAGCTGGCACTGGACAAGCACCTAAAGTCGGTACCCGACCAACCGGGCTGTGGCTCGTACGTTGGTTTGCGTGCAGCCAGCAGTAACAGCCTGGTTGATCAGGCTCGGATCCACCAGGAGGCCTGGTCACAGACCGGGCCGCGGGGGCGTTGACCCCCGAAACTCTCTCCAGGTAAACTCCACCTGCTTTTAACATTTCTATCTTTATCCCATCAATCCCAGCTGCCTTACCCACTTTCATTTTACCTACTGCCTCACAAACTTCCCCCACACTCACATCTGGCTCTTCCTCACTCCTACAAGATGTTATTATGATGCAAAATCTTTTACTTCAAACTATTCATGCTATTGTATTATGTGGACTTGCACAAATTCTACAAATACACTACATCTATTATTGCTTCTGTTTTTTTTTTTTTACCAAATACTATTTATCTCACTGCTAAGAACCTATAAGGAAAGAGAAAGTGCCTTAATTTTAATGAGTGACCTTATCTATGTTGGAGCTACCTTCCCCTTCCTCAGATTATACCTGACTGGCTCTCATTCCCTAGGCACAACCCCAGCAAATTTAACAATTCCTCACTAATATAATAATAAATAATTTCTAAGAGGCTGATCTGTCCTTCATCCACTACATTTCTTAAGAGAAAAAGAGATGTAAATAAAATGCATATGGACCGGGTTACCTGTAAGTAAACACAGTAGAGGTCTTGGTATTTTTGGGCATGAAGGGCACACGATTCTCTGTCTTCCTCACCACTGCTGTAAGTTCCATTAGGCCCTCTACTTGACCATTTATTCTTGTTGCTGGATCTTTTTGTTTACGTGAAACCCATCCTCGGTTTATTAGTACTGTTAGGCTGAAATGTTGTGTCATTTGTTAATTATAATTAGTCCTGGAGGAGGAAAATACAGTGCCTGCACTCTGAAGGAGGGGTGGGGATATTTACTGTATGGAGGGACATCTGAACTGTCATATCTGCATGCCTCTGGCAATAGTGTGATAGTGTGAATGAATAATGGTGAGAGTGTTTCGTTTTCAGTTACCTAACAATCATAGGTACAGCATTATATTATGTATAGACATTAAATCTGGTGTAGGCAATGACAAAAACTAAACTTTCTTCAAGTAAATTCATTATGCAGAATATGTGCATGACAAAAATAACAGAAATTTCCATACAGTCATACAAACATATTTATATCACAGTTTTCAGGCTTTTCACTTCTGCTCAGTATCACTCTCTTGCACCAGTGTCCAGCAGTAGTCCATCATCAAACTGACTGATAGGTTTCCCTGATACCTTTGCCATGATGACTATGTCATGGTGCAATCACTCACCGTAGGGTCTTATATCACAAAAATATACATTCTGGAGCAAAACTAAGTTCAGATTTGAATTCAGCATCCCAAAATTGGTTAGAAACGTGTTTTCAAACATAAACCAAAACCATTATGGGCCAGTGTAATTATTACTTAGCTGCCATTAGTTACAAATTGCAGCTAGCTAAGCAATTTGTTAGTATTATTACTAATTTCCTGCTACTGTCATATTACAGACATAATTACATTACCCATCTAATCTTAAGAAATTTAAATTCCTTTAGCCACAGTCCAAACTACATTCATTATTCAGCCTGACATGAGTTGCAAGCCATATGAAATTTGGATGAAAATAAAGATCATCTCATTATTTAGGCCAAAAATTGGGTTGCTGGGTATTTAGTGAGGTACTCAGGCTGCTCGTACCTCACCATCCTGGTATAGTAACCTACCAACAAGGGGTTACAGTATAGGGAGAGGGTTAATGATATACAGACATTTAACAATACCATACTTTCCACACTCAGTAGTATTGTGTCACAGGTAATTAATAAGAACCACTCTACACCAGGAATGCCTTGCAAAATAGACAAAAAAAAAAAAAGTCTAATTATCTATTCAGATAAAAACATTTTCCACAAATACATTAAAATAAAAATGAAGTCTTTGTATTTTTAACTACATAAATCCATTTCTTCCCTGAATTTTGGTAGCCTCCTACAATCTCTCATAACAAAAAAGTCTATTTATATCAACTAAACTAGACAAGAGAAAGACTTATTCTGTATTATCAAACATACTATAAGTCTTTAAACTTTTTCAAGTCTTACTCTCTATCAATCAGCTTGAAAGGTGTGATAACAAGGTAGCCACTTTGTCCAGAAGATATGAGTCCACTTCCTGCCTCATGCACATCCCCGCCAACCTGTGAACACATTCAAGGAGTAAAAAACTGTCAGGTAAACAGGTTTTGTGTGTGGTAGATTAAATTTCTGAAAAAAAAAAAATAGTTTTTTTAAACTAAATTCTCTATTTTGCAATGGCAAGTGATTACTTAGATGGCAATTTCCCAACCTTCTATCTTCCACCAACCGAGCCCACAGACGTCACCATGATTATTAAACTGCTTAAAAATAAATCAGCAAATCTGGCTCAAGTCCCGCCATTATTATACAAACAAGCGGCTCATGCTCTTTTGCCAGCTATTTCATTACTCTTTAACAAGTCACTAGAAACCAGCACTTTCCTGACACTACTCAAGATAGCAAGGATTACACCAATACACAAAGGTGGTGACCCCACAGATGTAAACTACAGGCCAATATCAAACTTACCATTGCTATCCAAAATCTTCAAGAAACTCATACACAACAGATTATACTCCTTTATAACAGCATAAAGCATCTCAACCCCTGCCAATTTGGCTTCAGGTAAAGCAAAAGCACAAATGACGCAATTGTAAAAATGCTAGACCTGCTTTACACAGCACTTGAAAAAATGAATATCCATTAGGACTCTTTATCGACCTAAGGAAAGTTTTTGATGTAGTAGACCACAACATCCTACTCCACAAACTTGATCATTATGGTATAAGAGGCCACACACACTTACATATTTCAAATCCTACCTTACTAACTGGCATCAATACGTCTCTAATAAGGAAAACAATCTCATCAACAAGACCACTGGATACTGGAGTACCACAGGGCACTCTTATACATCAATGATCTTCCTAATGTATCACAACACCTTAAACCTATTCGCTTTGCTAATAACACAACTTACATCATCTCCCACCCTAATCTTGCCTCACTCAACATTATTGTTAATGAAGAGCTAGTAAAAATATCGACCTGGATGACTGCCAATAAACTTACACTTAATACTGACAAAACCTTCTACATAATGTTTAGGAGCAGAACAGGTGATGCCCAGCTGAACATTATGATTGACAACACTCTTATTGTTATAAATAATGAGGGCAAATTCCTGGGTCTGCACCTTGACAGCAACCTGAAATTCAACACCCATATCCAACACATAACAAAAAACGTATCCAAAACAGTTGGGATCCTCTCAAAGATACATTACTATGTACCACAAACAGCCCTACTCACACTTTTACTATTCACTCATCTATCCCTACCTCAACTATGCTATTTGTGCCTTGGGATCAACAGCAGCAACCCACCTAAAACCAATAATAAACTAACAAAAAGCTGCAGTAAAAATGATCACACAATCCAATGCCAGACAACACCCCTTCCCTCCCTCTTCAAAGACCTAAACTTGCTCACTGTACCAAACATTCACACCTACTACTGTGCAACCTACATTTACAGAACCATAAATTCTAAAATTAACCCTAAACTAAAACACTTTCTTGACAGTTCAACAGGATCCACAGACACAATACCAGACACAAAAATCTCTATGACATTCCTCGTGTCCAGCTACAAAACCTCAATGTACATAAACGGACCTAAAATCTGAAACTCCCTGCCCAAAAACTCTAGAACTGCAGACTCAACCACCATTTTCAAAACTACCATTAAAAAAACAACTTATCTCCCTAACACACCCCCATCATCAGCTATGTGAAAACCATCTATTCTTGTTTTTGTATCATGACCACATCCAAAACAAAATAGACTTACTCTTGTTATCTGAAATTTTTCCCCTAATTTACACTTACACTCACCCAAATGACTGTAAACATAAAATTCCTAATAAATATAGCTATTGCCTAATAAATCTTAAGTCTTAAGTTTGCCTGAAATTACTCTCCCAACTTTAGGAGCTTTTATAGAAACAGTTTATCATACCGAGATAAAAATATTCCCATTACTAAATTTACTAATTGTAATATTGTTATATGTTTTGTACTACCTCACTATTTAATTAATCACCTCAGTTACCTAACTTTTATATCAGTATGCAATAATTTATATTAAAGTGTACTGCTCCATAACCTGTGTCAATATAGAGTAAGAATTTGGATTACATGTAGTCTATCCAAAATGCCTAGGCATGCTAGTAGCCTTCTTTGTAATTAATATTTTAGATGTAAACCACATATTGCAAGCTTTGCAAGGAAATAAACATTTTCACTTTCAAATATTAATATAAAAAGACAACTACAGTAACTGAAATCTCATAATACGGTACAGTACAGTGAATGTAACGTGAAAGATGAATGTGTGCTCGAATTAAGACCCACAAATTGTGAGGTACAAGTTACCACTGCACCATTTATGTTAATGATGTTCAGTCTAGGAACTTCTGCCAACCACACCAGATTATGTTAGGAACCACTGTTGTCAATGATCAATATTACTCAAAATCTTATGACAATCACATCAACTCCATATATACCAGAAATTAAAATTGAATGAGTTTCAGTCTGTTCAGAACCAATACTAAGTTGCAACTTGCTAACAGTTCAGGACAGATAGAAAAATCTGATATATTGTGGGCTACAGGTGATTTGTTTGACATGGAATTACCACTTTTAATATCCAATGCCAGCCTGGGTAAGCAGGTAACATTGTTCATGCATTTCCTTCTTCCCCTGCACCCTTGATGCTGGTGAAGAGTTCCTAATTAAGGAAATTGGAGCCACACTCTCTTTCCTTGGATCAAACCTGATTACTTCCAGTTCCCAAGGCACTGTATGACCCCTTTGGGATTAGCACTTCCCCATGAATAATAATAATAATAATAATAATGCTTCTACATTCCTATTTTCATGTCAACAGAAAAGTGTACTACTTCCCGGCAAAAGTAGGTCTTAGACAGGGATGTGTAATGTCACCATGGTTGTTTAATATATTTATAGATGGGGTTGTAAAAGAAGTAAATGCTAGGGTGTTTGGGAGAGGAGTGGGATTAAATTATGGGGAATCAATTACAAAATGGGAATTGACACAGTTACTTTTCACTGATGATACTGTGCTTATGGGAGATTCTAAAGAAAAAATGCAAAGGTTAGTGGATGAGTTTGGGAGTTCGTGTAAAGGTAGAAAGTTGAAAATGAACATAGAAAAGAGTAAGGTGATGAGGGTATCAAATGATTTAGATAAAGAAAAATTGGCTATCAAATTGGGGAGGAGGAGTATGGAAGAAGTGAATGTTTCCAGATATTTGGGAGTTGACGTGTCAGCGGATGGATTTATGAAGGATGAGGTTAATCACAGAACTGATGAAGGAAAAAAGGTGAGTGGTGCATTGAGGTATATGTGGAGATAAAAAACGTTATCTATGGAGGCAAAGAAGGGAATGTATGAAAGTATAGTAGTACCAACACTCTTATATGGGTGTGAAGCTTGGGTTGTAAATGCTGCAGTGAGGAGGTGGTTGGAGGCGGTAGAGATGTCCTGTCTAAGGGCAAAGTGTGGTGTAAATATTATGCAAAAAATTCGGAGTGTGGAAATTAGGAGGTGTGGAGTTAATAAAAGTATTAGTCAGAGGGCTGAAGAGGGTTTGTTGAGGTGGTTTGGTCATTTAGAGAGAATGGATCAAAGTAGAATGACATGGAGAGCGTATAAATCTGTAGGGAAAGGAAGGCGGGGTAGGGGTCGTCCTTGAAAAGGTTGGAGGGAGAGGGTAAGGAGGTTTTGTGGGCGAGGAGCTTGGACTTCCAGCAAGCATGCGTGAGCATGTTAGATAGGAGTGAATGGAGATGAATGGTATTTGGGACCTGACGAGCTGTTGGAGTGTGAGAAGGGTAATATTTAGTGAAGGTAGTAGGTTGGTAGACAGCAACCACCCAGGGAGGTACTACCGTCCTGCCAAGTGAGTGTAAAACGAAAGCCTGTAATTGTTTTACATGATGGTAGGATTGCTGATGTCTTTTGTCTGTCTCATAAATATGCAAGATTACAGGCATGTCTTGCTACTTCTACTTACACTTAGGTCACACTACACATACATATACACATTTATTCATACACACTCATCTGAGTTTTCTTTGATTTTATCTTAATAGTTCTTGGTCTTATTAATTTTCCTTTTATATCCATGGGGAAGTGGAATAAGAATCTTTCCTCCGTTAAGCCATGCGTGTTGTAAAAGTCAACTAAAATGCCGGAACAATGGGCTAGTAACCCCTTTTCCTGTAAAGATTACTAAAAAGAATAGAAAGAAGAAAATTGTCAAAGTGGGAAGTCTGAATGTGCGTGGATGTTGGCAGATGATAAGAAAGAGATGATTGTGGATGTTATGAATGAGAAGAAGCTGGATGTCCTGGCTTTAAGTGAAACAAAGCTGAAGGGGGTGGGAGAGTTTCAATGGAGAGGAATAAATGGGATTAGGTCAGGGGTTTCAAATAGAGTTTAGAGCTAAAGAAGGAGTAGCAATAATGGTGAAGATAAGCTATGGCAGGAAAAGAGGGACTATAAATGTATTAATTCAAGGATTATGTGGAGTAAAATAAAGATTGGATGTGAAAAGTGGGTTATAATAAGCGTGTATGCACCTGGAGAAGAGAGAAGTGTAGAGGAGAGAGAGAGATTTTGGGAATGTTGAGTGAATGCGTTGGGGAGTTTTGAATCAAGTGTGAGAGTAATGGTGGTTGGGGATTTCAATGCTAAAGTGGGTAAAAATGTTATGGAGGGAGTAGTAGGTAAATTTGGGGTGCCAGGGTAAATGTAAATGGGGAGCCTTTAATTGAGCTATGTGTAGAAAGAAATTTGGTAATAAGTAATACATATTTTATGAAAAAGAGGATAAATAAATATACAAGGTATGATGTAGCACGTAATGAAGTAGTTTATAGATTATGTATTGGTGGATAAAAGGTTGATGGGTAGGCTCCAGGATGTACATGTTTATAGAGGGGCAACTGATATATCGGATCATTATTTAGTTGTAGCTACAGTTAGAGTAAGAGGTAGATGGGAAAAGAGGAAGGTGGCAACAACAAGT